CCTATTCTCATATCCGTATCAGCTCTAGCAGCCTATTCTCATATCCGTATCAGCTCAAGCAGCCTATTCTCATATCCGCATCAGTTCTAGCAAACATTTCTGAACCTCTGTTCAGCTCAAGCAGTCTATTCTCATCTCCGTATCAGTTATAATTGCCTATTCTCCTTGCCTTATCTGCTTTAGTAGTCAATTTTCATCCCTAGGTTTCCTGGATGGATTTCGTCATGGAATACTCCTCAAATTGTTTGGGGGCAAACGGACAGAATATTTCTATTACTTTAAGCATCCATCTCAAACAGACATCGGTGTTTTAGAATAAATATTACAAATTCTTCAAAATTTACCCACACCCACAACTGTTTTTGTGGCCATTAACGTAACAGATAACTTGAGATGAAAATATATTGGGCCTGTAAAGTAAAATATTTGAAGATTGTCCGAAAGTGGATTTTCTCATGGTGATATTGTTCAGATACAAAGCAATTATATTGAGAAATCGTTCCTGATGTATGCTGTGTGGACATCCATATTAATTCATAGAGCATAAACATATGTCAATTAGATAAACAAACACGACAAGAGTGATGAAAAAAGAAACCCCTAATCGAATTGTTTATGATATTTCTAATATGTTTATTCATTTGAAGAAAAAACACATAACCCTAAAATTGATAAAACAAATATTTTGCTATATTATACATTCACATAAAAAAAACCATGTTTTTAAACACACTTCAGTGTTAAAGAAAATATTTGAAATTGCATATTGTAGCACAGATACACGCATTAAGTTTAAAATTATTTGGGGGGGGGGTTTATCACACTAAAACATGTTTTATGCTAAGGTTACGTTTTAATGACAGTCTAAGCTTCCATAATTGCCAATTTAAGGAAGATCTTAATCATAACGGTACAGTTCCTTTCATCAATCTAAAAATCCTAATTTTGTCGGAGAGTAGCGTGCACTTTAAAACGTCGTTATTAACACTACTCTATCGCACGACCCAAAGACCTGGAGTTTCATCAACAGAAAATCCTTGACAGTCTCACAAAACAATACCCCGCCATTATCTCATCAGTGTGGAGTTAATGCTAATCGTCATATGGTAACCGTACGTTGACAAACACTTAATCGGCCCCATAACGGCTCAGCCAATCAGAAGGCAGTGTAAATATTTCAGTAAGACCAGGCTGCAAGCACGAAAACTACCCAAGCGTGACACACACACAAACCAGCCTTGTCGGGGCCTTTGTAAACATGGGACGGCCTGGCTTGTGTTACCGGTATTCTCGAAAGATAAACTGACAACTGGGGTTTCTAACTTTTTATAGTTTGGGTTATTATTTATAGCTTTTCACAAATGTATTTTGTAGTTTTCTTCGGTAATGATGTACTGATTAAACGCCCAATACAACGTGACGCTTGATAATGTTTTACATTTTTTAAAATTAACACTGTATGAGTAAAGAGTTGGAATATTGGGATTTTTTAAATAGAATTATGTGAAAATTAGTTTTCTTACAAAACATAATTGTTGTAATTTCGAACAGAAACAACAAAATATTGATAAAACTATTATGAAATCATTTCACACTCGCGTATTGATAATGTTGTATTTGTAATATGATATGTTATAACATTAATATCAGAAAAAAATATTATTAGTGTATCTAGAATTTTATAGCCAGGATATACGAAGTAAATGTTGAATGAGTCGATTTTCATCCCGGGATATAAGCTATTATTTCACTGTTACATGAACCATAATCACTTTTGAATAAATGAACCTGTACATATTATAAACACATTCGAGTAAAAGTTACATTACAAATTTAAAGAATTATAAATAGAAATTTATTTAATGTTGAAATATCATCTCTGCTTTATTGTTCATCGTGTGTTGTAAGATGCAAATATAATTGTACCTTGGAACTATAGTTTTAATTTATGTATTATTATATACAGACGATCGCCGCGAATAACTGCAAAATTGCTGGTGCGGCGTTAAGCAATATTCACTCACTATACAGACGAAATATAAAAGAAAAATAAATTAATTCTAAATTCTCCCCAAAGTATATTTCCCAGAATTAATGTTAATGAATTAATTGCGATACGCCTTTAGGGCCAGTACGACAGGTGACATCCGCCAGAACGCTCCTAGTCGATTAAACAGGTTGCTTCCAGAGAATTGATTAAAATTTGATAAAAATCGATTTGATCTAATGTTAAAGGTTTGGTCGATTATTGTCTCGTGTGTTTTTGTTTTTGTAAGTCGTTCTTTGATTATGGGTAGAACGTCACCCCCCAACCCTTTTGGCCAGACATTCGGAATCAATCATTCTTTTCATCACTGTACATGAATAATATATATGTATTTGGGCGAGTGTAGGGATTCCTTTAAACCCTAATGTCAAGCTGGCGTTCTGCCCGTCTACAGAATGCTTGCCGATCTCCATCGTTAATTATTCACCGGTTCCCCTCAACAGCCGGTCGCCACCCGGTTGTAAGTGTGTTCATCATGAGCTGAATATATGAAAGGGTAGATTTGTTTCTACACTCGCTTAAATGGTTGAGCAAATTAAGAATGTAAGAATCGCGTGGAAGTGAGTGAGTTTGGTTTAACGCCGCTGTGAACTTTATTTCAATTATATTACAGCGTATCAGTTGATGTGGGCGGAAAACATGGCGTGATGCAGATCTATGTTAACCATTTTGGCAACTTGGTTTGTATACTCCCCAGGGAGTTGAGAATGGAAACTGGAATGAAAACGGATCCTGTGGTTGGGGAACAAATAAATCCGCATTTGAGCAGACACTAGTACCTGGATATATAAATATAAATATATCATATAATAATAATAATTTTGATGAAATACGCGAGCAAGGATAACCCTCACAAACCTGGAAACATTGATCGTAGGTTTGTGGCACGCGTTACATGCCCCTAGTGCTCCCTGAACTGAAATCGGCAAATTCTTTCAGTACAATGATTTCTTGATTTAGAAATTTGTTAATCTGGCAAATTTCACAAAGCAACATTAGCGTTAAGAAGGTAAAAAATCTATGCTAAAGAGTTGGAGCTACGACGGTCTTAATCTTGGGGAACGGAAGCATGGACGATTTCACTTTGGACGCCACCGTCCGGATAAACGGGGGCTCGCTGTACCTCTATACCGAACCCACGCGAGTGTATTTTGTCCCTCTCAATACTTAATCATCCCCCTGAAAATATCGGTTGTCTCCACTATAAAAAGCATGTAATATTAAAACACTGTGTTTTTACTTAGAAAGATTCGGGTTGCGTCTAAACACGACCAATTCAATACCACGTTATTAAGCATGTGATACTCTGTATGCTTAAGCAGAATTATTTACCATTCACATACATTGCTTACATCTGGAATTGTTCATATCAAAGAAAGACTTCCCATGCTTAATGCGACGCGGCTGTTACAATTTGTGAATGTTTTAAAGGTGGTATTTACACAGAGCAAATATTACATAACCTTATCTGAACCTACGTTCACGCGTTATAAGGGGAGTGCATTATAAACTGCCGCACAAAAGAAAGTATGCCCTTGAAAATTGGATTTGGTAAATTAATTACAAACATTATCGTTACTTGGCTAACAACAATCGCTGAAACACTGCAAACTTAAAGCCCAAAACGCAACAATGATATCCGTATCAAATACATCATTATCGTTTAACCATTTCTTGTTTGTTTCATTTTTAGCCACCATCAAACATTGGTGTATATTTTGTTTTGCCTGGCAGTTTATGATAAATATGTATGACTTGCATACCCGATTATATCTTCAGATATAATCCCGAGGGATACTCGAGGGAGGCAACTTGAATAAAATTGAGGATAGGTGCAATGGGGGTTAACGTCGCGTCCAAGATTATTGCACTTGTATAGCGACGTCATGCATGTGTGTGTGTGTGTGTGTGTGTGTGTGTGTGTGTGTGTGTGTGTGTGTATTTTAGCCTCTTAATGTCGTGGTATTGAATGGGTTGTGTTCAAACGCAACCAGAATCATTTTAAGTAAAAACAAAGTGTTTCAATGTTAACGCCAGGCAGGGTAACAACAAGTGCCACCTGTAAACGTCTTTTGGTATGACGCGGCTGGGGATCGAACCCCGGACCTTTCGCTCTCCGAGCCGACGCTCTACCACTAGACTTATAGACAACGATTATAGGTCGATGCAGTCTTAATGTAAATAGCTGTAAGTATGGAGAAGAATCTGGATTTTCATTAGATATATTTGCATTTTCATTTCCGAGCTACACATTGATACATTCTCAATTTATTATCAGAAAACACGTTTGTGTTATCCAATTGTTAGAAGAATGGATGTGTTTCATATGACTACAATTAATCAGACGTGGCTGTTGAGTATTGCAACACACAGCCTTCCAAATGTGTTCTAAACTTGTCTTGAGTGGTATACATAAACACAGTTCAACAAGGAAATAAATTTTAGTCGACTTAAGCGAACTTATTGAACCATTTCAGTTTAAAAAATATGATAACGTGTACAAAAATAGATGGAAGCTGGATCCACGAAACAAATCATCCCCAGAAGCGTAATGTAGCATTGCCCAAGTCTGAAACCTGTCATTGTTGGCATTAGCTGTCATTAGTCAGTGTACGTTTCTATTAAGCTTCCCTGTTTCAGTTTGTTTGATAATTAAACATGAACGCCCTTCAGGCGTTGTGGTATTAATTAGGTTTTTTTTATCGAATGGTTACACAATGAAGGGTTTATACGAATTCGAACAGATAGTAGCTGTGAGTAGATTTGACTACAACTTGAAAATTTCCATGAAAGTTAAACACCATGTCTATCCTAACAAAGGATATTGATATTTAGTTTTTGCATTATTCTGTTTGAATAGTAGACGTACACTGCCTGCATCAGTGCTGTAATGTCAAGAGTAGTCACTCTTACCCAGGCTTATTCAGATGAGATCACGTAAGATGCATTTCTCAATAAATATTTTATTTTCAGTCGTTACAAAATAATTAGCAATTGTTCCAAAAGCCGAACAATATCGCTGGAAGATCCATCGGAACATGTACAATAAAGTCACATATAAAATATACCAATATTACCGAGGCAAGTAATATATTATTGTTTATGTTGCATATAGCCATGTCATGCAAACCATTTGGGAAGGTGAGTCATTGTTTACCTGGCTTCTGAATCACTGTTGACAATATGACGGCTCCATTGTCAGAAATAGCTACAGGAGATAATAACGATATCTCATTTCCATCAACAAATCCGGCACGATTAAACTATGTACACATGATTACACTGTTAAAGCTATAGTACAAATTGCACTAGCAAGAGTAAGATAAGTCCCATTGTCATCAATAGACAGTTAATGTCATTTGTTCAATGCACAATGGCCTTGTCACATATCCCACTCAGATGTGACTAAATCCTTAAATTCTGTATGATTCTGAAAGTCCATTGGTCTTTGTGATTTCTTCAAAAATCTTCTTCCGTGGTCCCTTGTGAGATTGTCTTCAGTCTTTGTCCAGCAACTCCTGCAGAGCTGCAATGTATGTCTGTGCCATTTGAAGGGTTTCATATTTGGACAACTTTCTGTCGTCACTAAATGCCGGTATGACATCCCGGAGTTCGTCGAAGGCGACGTTGAGACTCTGCATTCGTCGTCGTTCACGTGCATTGGCGGCGATGCGGCGTCTCCGAAGGACATCTCTGCCCCCGTTTCTTACAGGAGGTCTCATATAGAGGTTTGTCGTCTTCATCTTCTGGAAGCTTGGTCGGTCGGAATCTGATCTCCTTATTACATTGTCTATAGAATAGGTCCAGGATTGGTTGGAACCATCCTGCAACGGCCTGTCCGACAAAGCAGGTCTGGTTGTAGTGTCCGAAGAGTATATGAACTGACCACTTACGTAATTCTCTCGGTCAGATGAACTGTCCAGATCCCCACTTCTCTTCCTGTCAGACATCGTTCAACGGCTCTGTCAGTTCCTCAAAATGACACTCACACAGATCTCGATCAACCGCTTCAAATAGACACTTTTACAAATATCTCGGAAGTTTCACTAGCTGAGAGGAAATGGTCCCCTTAAATATTAAATTGATCCTGTTGGAAATCGATATACGAGTATTGATAAATATTTCACGAAAAATCGTCTATCCAGCCAATGAGAAAGGGGCGTTCCGCTCGAGTGCGCATGCCTTCAATGGCCTCACTCACATGACTTCTCGTCAATAGTTGAGCGCCGCCCATCTCGCGTGGTCACGTGCTGAGGTGAGACCCGTGAATGCTCCAGCGCGACTCTTTCTGTCTGGCACATGTCATGGAATCAATCAATCAAACACAACCTTTGTTCTAGGTCAAGGGTCATACAAATACTCAGCTTTACCTCGCGCCTCGCACGTGGCTCCTTCCAAGATCAAGTAGCAGCAAGGTTTTTTGACGAAGTTCTAGTGATTTCCACACTTTACTCGTTGTAATTGTTTTCCCCTCTACTTGAAAAATATTAATTGAAACGGTGTAGTATTGAAGCCTTGTAATCCGATGAATAATCTGTCGTACTGGAGAGATTTGAAACTTTACCATTTTGTCGTTGACGACCACAGAAACAAAGTAACGGTTCTCAGCGAGTGACAGGTACACCATATACCGGTTTCTCCTCAAGTCCCCGACAATTTATCACAGCATACAGACTACCATGGTCAGAATGTAAAGTTAATATATTAATTAAATATAAAGGGCGTGTTTACTGAACATAAAATGTGAATTTCTCATTATTGTGTACAGCGTCAATAAATAACATTTTATCATATTTTTATCATGTTATCCAAACACATGTGGAAAATATATTCTCACAATTTAAACAATAAGTATGTTTTGATGAAATGTTTATGTAAAGGGATAATCTAATTTTAAAATCAAGAAATCTCGTTATCCTTTACTGTTAGTATTTCCGGGACCGTCATTTCGCAGTCACACATTCTCCGTTAAAATGGATTCACCGGGATGGTATCGTACGGATCAATGGGGTTTCATATGAAACAGAAAACTTGTGGGTATAAACATGTACACAAATATGTTCAGACTGGGATACAAGCGACAAAAAAGCCTCTGACTGTGATCTGATCACGGAACTATATAGGTCCTTGATGAGACGAAGCATTGAGGCAGATGGGAGAATACTGACAATTAATGATAAAGTGTTAGATGTAGATATATTCTATTTCTATGAATGAAACTAAACTCATTCATTCATTTCTAAAAGCCATTTGTTCTTATCAATAATGAAGTCTGACCCGACTTCCGGGTTTGATGATTCAGGATTGAGTGAGTGAGTGAGTTCGGTTTAACGCCGCTTTTAACAGTATCCAGTTATATCGCGGCGTGTCAGCTTAATGTGGGAGGAAAGCCCGAAGTGATGCAGGTCTCAGACGTTTACCACCTCGATGAAACCCACGAGCACGGGTATGGTGCTGACAACCCTAGAAACATAATTGGGGCGAACCGGGATTCGAACCCACAATCATAAGTTTCTGGCGTGCCCAAGGGACGCAACTCAGCGAATCGCGGCGCCTTAGACGACTGGGCCACCCGTGCCCCCTTCAGGATTGAGAAAAGCTCTACATCCTGTTTGACGTACCTACATGGGGATCGAGTGATCGGGCTCTGTGACCGCGTCGAACGTTGCCCTTAATATCAACCACTAATTCCAATCCATCCAGTCTCGATTCATTGCATTCGACGTTATATTGTTGGAATATTACTGATTGCGACAACACCTAACCACACTACCGGGCAAAAGAAAGTACACATTGAAAATAAATTGGACTTGATAAAAAAATTACATAACGTTAGCCGAAACACTGTATGAAATACGTCACCATCGATTAACTGTTTCTTGTTTGCTTCATTTTAGCCACCATCAAATATTGGTGTATACGTTCTTTTGCTCGGCTGTTTATACCCTACATAAAGAGTATTCGAGGTTTACACTTAAAATAAAGTTGAAACTGCAATTAATAAAAGCAACAAAACCCTTTCCATATTCATAAGAAATATCTGCCCAAACAGAGCCGATTGAACGATTCCGACTTTAGTATGAGCATATATCAATGAATCACTATGAAATAGTGATGATACTAGGTGTTCGCGAAAAGGTGCGCGTATCCTGCCCCAACGGTGGCACCCGTCACAAACACATGCAATAGCAACACATGGTACAAGTCAAAATAGGGAATTGCATCTGACATAATGTTTGTCACTGATGCGTCAAATTTGGAAGTGTCCTCCACATGTCTACAATACAACTTTTTGAAAGCTTTACTGAGGCCTTGAATGCTGTAACCTTGATGAAACAACTTCTGAGCAAGATTTGTATGACGCTCTTTGAAGTCTTGGTAGAAAGAGCATGCTCGATTGTACCTAAAAATGCAGACACAAAGGGCTGGAGCTGCAGGAATATTGCTCGACATTTAGGGAAATTTGACTTTTTGAAAGTTGAAGTCATCCCTCTAGTCATGTTGTCTTGTGGAGAGTGTGTTGTCAATCTGAATTTTCATGCATTGATCCAAACATGAAACAGATGAAGCGATCTCATTGGTCTCCTTGATTTGTAGTTCAGGTGGGTAAATCAGTGGAGTGGAATTGGCTATTTGGTGGTTATTGGATATATCAGATCATCGATATACCTGAAGCTTAAGTTAAACTTCTTGGTCAATTTACCTTGTTTTGACTTTGCCAAACCGAGCAGAAATTCTGATTCATATGAAAGAAACAGATCAGCAAGAAGGAGAGCGCAATTGGTGCCAATGGAGATGCCTACTTCAATTCTTGCCTAAATGGGGGCGGTCGGGTAGCCTAGTGGTTAAAGCGTTCGCTCGTCATGCCGAAGACCCGGGTTCGATTCCCGACATAGGTGCAATGTGTGAAGCCCATTACTGGTGTCCCCCGCCGTGATGTTGCTGGAATATTGCTAAAAGCGCGTAAAACCATACTCACTCACTCACTCTTGCCTAAATGTCTTTCCCCCAAATTTAAGATATTATCAATGAGGAAATCCAGTGTTTCACAGATTGTTTTCTCAGTAAACTTCAGATGGCATTTGCTTTCATTTTTCACAAATTGTCCTGAACCTCTGCAGATAGATAGGTATCTATATCTATGGTCACCACGTTTTGTAACAAAAGCCCCATGGATCAAGGAAGGAAGTTTTCCCATAAGTTTGTCATTAGGGATTGTGGTGTACAAAGATGTAAAAGCAAATGTTTTGACAGAATTGAGCCTGGTTCTTTACTGAGAAATACTCCACGTCTTGGAACACCAGCGTTTCTTCTTTACTGGCTTCATTGATTTAACGCTGAAGTGTTATTACGGCAATATCACCTTTTGAGCACGAATCTTGCATGTTTTATGGAATAAATTATGATGATCGAAATAGCGTTTTTAATGCTTGTTTGAATAACATGAAAATGACATTTGGATAAAGATGAAAGAAACAATTGCGAGATTATCCTGATGGGTCACAAGTTAAAAAGATCTAACAGTTTCTTTTACCAAAAAACGACCGTTTACCGTTTAAAGTGGTCACTTTCACATTGTTCCCCTAGACAACTATGATGATTTGATGAACGGAAATCAATCACATCCCGAGGAGCATATCGGAAATACCCATTTAACATTTTTAGCCTCCCTCACTATTTTCTTTGTAATGCGGAAGTAGCGTATTGATCTCAAACTAAGATGACTTTTGAACCCCTAATGTGTTTTCAGTTGCAGTGATGCGGTCAAAATGAACATGTCTGATACATCAATTAATGCGAGTTTCTACTTAGGTAAGGGTAACGCTTGTAGTCCAAGAACAACTGATAAAAGAGGAGAGACGCGCAACGTCCAAACAAAGTTGCACCTGGACGAAAAGATCGATCACTTTGATGTCCACGATCTGAAAGAAACAATTGAAGATATTGACGATTGATAACCATTCTCTCACCTTGTTACACCTTGATATTGTCATTAAGCGTTCATGTATCGATATGTTTTCATAATCCCACATGTCACTGTATAAACTAATTAAATTGTGCACTTGATGAACGGAATAATACGTGTTTATTATTACACTTATAATTTCGAATGCAGGAAAGATCATGCAAGATTAAACTGCTCACTAATGAAAGTTTAATGTGAATATAAACACCGCTTTATGAGTATGCTATTAATTATATTCAAACGGTTTGAATATTGTCTTTGGGCAAGGTGGACTAGTGGTCTATATATAATTTTCAAGAATAGTCCCCCTTAACGTTCACGATCCGCTCAAATCTAAAATCCAGATTCGAGTCGATTGCGGTTCTTATGTCTCTCTCTCTCTCTCTCTCTCTCTCTCTCTCTCTCTCTCTCTCTCTCTCTCTCTCTCTCTCTCTCTCTCTCTCTCTCTCTTCGAACCCCGGTTCGCCCCGATTATGTTTCTAGGTTTGTCAGCACCATACCCGTGCTCGTGGGTTTTACCGAAGTGGTAAACGTCTGACACCAGCATCACTTCGGGCTTTCGTCCCACATTAAGCTGACACGCCGCGATATAACTGGAATCTTGTTAAAGGCGGCGTTAAACCCAACTCACTCACTCACTCTCTCTCTCTTGCAAATTATATTGTGCTATACACATTAACCTTTACTCTGATAACAATGTGGACAGTAACTAACACAGCGAAACCAGGGGCGGTCGGGTAGCCCAATGGTTAAAGCGTTCGCTCGTCACACCGAAGAACGGGTTCGATTCCCGACATGGGTACAATGCGGGGTAAAATCAAACTCACCCTCTCATAGCAAAGTCAGTCACAAGGGCTTGAACGCAAATGTATGTTATCACCGATTGCGAATGTATATGTAATCATGTTATTCACCAGAGTGAGTGAGTGAGTGAGTTGGGTTTAACGCCGCTTTTAACAGTATTCCAGTTATATCACGGCGTGTCAGCTTAATGTGGGAGGAAAGCCCGAAGTGATGCAGGTCTCAGACGTTTACCACTTCGGTGAAACCCACGAGCACGGGTATGGTGCTGACAAACCTAGAAA